CTGAGGCTCTCCCATAATAAGTGATTATTTGTCTTCTCTTTTCAAAGAGTAGATAAAGGATATTTAACAAAGAAATCCTTACACCAAGTTCTTCAGTAATTGCCAGAGCAGATAAATACATAAAATGAGGTTAGGCTATGAAGCACTTTAATGTTTAAATGTAAATTCTCATCTCTAAACATCTCTATTAACCTAGCAGATTTGAGTTGCAACCATCCTCCTAATAAAATATGAAATCTTTTAAGATTGCCAAGCATTTGTAAATAATGGATCCTTTAAATATCCCTGAACTTTATTCTAAAACTTATAAGGAGAAATAATAATTGCTTTATATAACCACTGATACCATTTTAGCATTTGATGAAGATGTTAATTTATGGTTGGTTAGCAGTTTATGGCAGTCATTAGTTTTTCAGTTTGGTCCACATTAGAAATCTATTTTTCTTTTTTATTTTAATCTGAGACAATTATATAAAGATATGGTTATGTTTTATCTAAAATGTATCATTCTACTATAGCATTTCAAATTATTCACAGATCATAGTTCTTATATGTGCATATATGAATTTAAAAATACAGCAATAAAATGCTTGAAACAGATCATAAATTTGCTTCATATTTTATTGCATCTCTGAATCAGGTTGAGAAGACAAGGGCAACTATGGTCTTTGGGAAAGAATTAACTCTTTCCCAAACTGGGAAGGAGAATGATAGCACAGTGTGCATAATTAAAGCCAACTTCCTCCTCAAAGCATCCTGAGGACTTTGTAAGATAGGTTTGTCCATCATATGGGGGGCGGGGGGGCGGGGGGGAGAAGAGAGGCATGGTGACGTTAACTGCCAAATCCTCCTTTCCCTTGCAGTCTAACCTTCCCAGCGCAGTCGTTCCTCTTCCGGAGCTTTCTAATCTGAATTTATGTTTTGCCCAAATTAGAAAACACAGAGGAAGGGAAGGGGAGAAAAGTCCAGGCGCACAGGCACAGGCACTCAAGGGTACTCATTTCGCAATGGTCCAGAAGGGTCCTGACGGTGTTAAAACCAGTCATCTAGAAAAAGTGGTAGAATTTAACCCAAATCAGAAAGCCAGCAAAGAGTTTCCCTGAAAGCAAAGAGGTCCTTGGGGGATAAAACTGGGGCGCTTTTGCAGAATTCCTGGTTGTGGCGCGGCTGTGGGGTGATCTTGACGAGCCTGGCATTTGCACGTGAGCCCACCAGGCCGCGGGGGTGCCGGGGACAACCCGATCCTAGTGCCACCTCTCGAAAGAGTTTGACGCAGAGTCCCTTAAATTCGCTTTTTGTCCCAAGGAACTTGGAAGTTAGATGGCTTTGCGCCCGCAGGAGGGACCCGGAAGGCCAGTCCAGGGGCGCTTTGCGGGTGCGGATCCCGAGTGCCTCCCGAGGCGCAGCGCGAACTGAGCAGCGCTGTGGGCGCGCTGATTGAGGTCGTCGTTCTGTCTGCAAACTTGGGCTGGCTGAGCTGCAGTAATAGCATCCCGCTCCCTGCCCTCCCAGGTCCCAGCACCAACACTGGTCCTGGGGCGATGCAGACAACCGGTCCTCCGCACAGAACCCAGGTTCTAGTAAACACGTTACCAATCGCTCAGAAGAACCAGAGATCCCGCGGGAAGAGAAAGGCTCTTCACTGGAGAGTTGCTTTTCCTCTTAAACTAAGTTACTGTCTCCTCGTTTTCCCTCCTGTTCCTCCACCATCTACGGTGCCCAAAGTCTGATATAAAAAGGCCAAATTTAAAGCAACCTGCAGCTCCCTGGCTTGGCGATCAAGGGGCCTCCGAGTTATAAATGCCAGCACAGAGCGCGCAGGAAACGGGCTCATTTATTTTGCTCACCCAACAAAAAATGTTAATTGATGTAAAGTTGCTTGGCACGTGGATAATTTAGTCTGACCCACATTTTAATTAAAAGAAAACTTATGATGTTTCTGATGTTCATCTTTTGCTATTTAATTTTGTTTAGAGGCGCCGTCGTGTAGTTGACAACCCTCCACCCCCAACCCACATTTCATTAAAACTTTTACTAAGGATCCTCGCCTGACCAGGATTCATTACCTCCCGCCACACGTTCGGGTCTCCACTCGCAGGCTGCGGCCGCCACAGTGCGCTGCGAGCCGGGAAGTGAACTCTCATCATTATTTTTCAAAGTCTGGGGAAGTGTGTTACCCTTTTTTCCTAGTGGTAATTAGTTACCATAGCATCTAATACGCAAATGTGCCCAGAGCACACCATTAACAGTTAAACGGAGGATTCAATTTAACACATGATTATATCTTTCATAAGTCATTACATTGGAGAAGTCAATGCCACTCATGCTGGAATGATCTCAAGGTCCGGGGCGCGCAGAAAGGTTCGGTTCAGGCGTCCGAGACCAAGAGGGCCTGGAGAAGGGAAGCCCGTGAGACTAGCCCTCCCTCCACCCCAGTGAGCTGTTAGCAGTAAAGAGGGGTGATGAGTCGGGTAGAAGGGAGACGAATTTAGCTCAATACAAGGTCTTGGAGGGGATGCCCAGCTGCGGGGTGGAGTGCGCACCAGGAGCGCGCGCGCGCACACACACACACACACACACACACACACACACACACACACACACGGCAGGCGAGTTCTTCAAAGATGATCATTTGCTGGTCCTGTAGGAGTCCGAGAAAAGCTCCCGCGCTTCTGTCTGTGCCCAGTGTCAAACTGGAGGTGAAACCTAAGAGGGAATTAGAATTAGAGAAGGAAATTGAAATTAGAGAGTAATTGGAAAAGGAAACAGGTGGAATAAAGGCCAAGTGGGATTCTGGGTCCGCGTTTGGCCTCATCTGCCCACTATCAATTCCTAAGACACCAGAGCAGCAGCGGGCTCCACCCGCGATGCGCCTGGAGAAGCACCCCAAGGCTCCTGGGTGTCAGAGGGGCTCAGGGCGGCCAAGGCTCACTGGCCCTGGAGTAAGCCAGTCTTAGGGGCCAGGCCAGCCTGTCTGCCCTGTTCCATGGGCACTTAGGCAAGACCTCCCTGCCTCTCCTCCCCCTTCCCCTTGCTCAGTTACCAAGTTCCCACCTGGATACTCCAAACTGGAAGGACCTCTGGGGCACACAAATGTGTGGTCTAACTTCCCAGATTGGGCCAAATTCAGGATTCAACCCTCAGAAGAAAAGCCACCGGGGTTTGGCCTGACCGGTGGGGGAAGAATTCTCTCTCCAACCCTCAGTGACCTTCTCTAAAAGCTGCTGCTGAAGAAACTTTGGAAAGGTTGGGATTAGGGCAGAAAAGGCCACCTAAGTAAGTCACCAAAAACCCCTTCCCAGTTCCTTTCAGGTATCTCACGTTCATCCCTAGAACAACATGCTGGTCAACTTCTGGATTTGGAAAGAGAAATGATTGGTTTGAAATTATCAAAATAAAAAGAAATGTTATTAAACTGCTACTTTTAATAATTGCACATATTCTTCTGACATTTTGACTTATTCCCAACATCCTCTTTTTTCCTCCATCCCTATCCATTTCAAGTCTATTTAAGGACGAAAAGTGGAGATTGAGTTGTTAAAGGGTGAACTTCTGAAGCTCAAGAATTATTATTTGTACAATTTGTAATAATAGTTGAACAGTACATAGGTTGCAGAGGAAGTATTTCAAGGAGGCCTATTTAATAATGAGAAACGCTAAGCAGTAAATCTTGCAGCAAATGTGTCCCCTACAATGTTAATATGCAAAAAGGAAAAAAAAATCGACTGATGGTGGCTGTGTTTAATTCCTAATCAGAATGATGGACAGCAGGGCCAGAACAATACAAACTAATGGCTGTGTTGCTGATCACTTTACCCCTTGATTAAAGACACCCAATTATGGCGCAGAACAGTGTCGTAATTATGTTTCTTAATCACATCCAGGAGGTTTAATTGCCTTAACGATGTGTTTCATTAAATGAATTTAGGTATTATAGTCGACAGTTTTCATACACAGTTGTTTTCAAATTAACATAATATTAGACATCGTCATGGAAATTGTTTTAATAATCATAATTAGATGCACCCAGGCTTTGTCTGGTAAATGCTAAGAGATGGGTCTCTCCAGCCTGGGGGCTGCCCTGGTCTCTTCCCTCCCTCTACCCCCACTCCCAGACTAGGAGGGCTTCAGCTTCAAGGCCCTTTGCTGTTATGTTTTCTGAAAAGTTACAGGTTCTGATTAATCCTTTTTGATGGCAAGTGGAGCAGAAAATATCCTCCCTCACCCCCCACTAAGTTTGATGGCATTTAGGAACATCATTCTGAGCTGAGGCTATACAGACAAGTATGCGTTTAGCAAACTGCCTAGGAAAGAAGCACTGTACCTTTGCCACCACCGTCCCTATAACCTCCACCACAATAAACATCAAACCTCTATCTGAGGGTGTTATTCAGGCCCAAATCCAAGTCTATACAGACATTCTTTAATAGAATCAATGCCCAATTTATCCAAACAGAGTCCCTAAATATCTCATTAATAAGCAACACTGTGAAGCTTTGAAAATCTCTATGGGCACTGTTTACACTTACAGCTCAACCTGGTTGAGTCTTCTGTCAGAAAACAATGTGGACAGCCACAATAAAAGTCATCCTCCATGAATTCAAATCCATCCCTTCTCCTTGGCTTTTGGGCAAGAGGGAAACAGAAATTTTGATCAAAACTCTTTAAGAAACTTCACCATCTTTGATGGGTTCTAACATGGTTAACAAGGCCACCAAGTGGGAAAAGCAGTCCAGGGACAGCATGGCCTTCAAAGTTATGCCAGCAGACAAACTCTGGACCTTCCTGGGTCTTACCACTGACCCCACTGCTCTCTCCCCCAATGACCACCAGGCCCAGCCAGCATCTTTTGAACAAGTAAACAAGAGAACTAGTCACTCCTCTTTGTATACCCCTGACAAAACTTTGTCTGAAACTCCTTTCTTTTACGTTATCTTTCAAGCCAAAAGTAACACAGAAGAGAGGTGACTGCTCCTCCCACAAAGCACAGCATAATAAAATGTTTGATCAAAATATTTTAATAAAGATTCTTTCTGACATAGATACACATACAAATGGTTATACATAGCTGTCATAGTCTGATTGACCTATTGAATATATATCATTCTTTATACATCCCAAACCCACCAATAGATCCATCACAGCTCCCAGCTCGCCATAACCTGACAAACTAAACTTGTATTATCTGCAAGGAGTGGAAAATAGCAGGACTCCATTTTTTTTAAAAAAAAAAGGATTTCTTGATTTTTGTAGGATAGAAAGGCAGGCAAACAGCCATGCAAACTAAAACCGAAAGCTCACTTTGGGTAAATAGCTTCTTGCTCTTCCTTAGCTTTGTTTTTAAATTTTATTTTATTTTTTTCTTAGAAAAATAACAAAGGATTTCACACCATAGGCAAATCAAACCAGTCTTTTAACTTAAATAATTCTCCACAATTAAAATAACTTATATATGTACATATATATTAAAAGCAATTAAATTAGAGCTTTTAAAAATGCACAGCACAGCCTGGAAAAATATTTGCTTAGCATGGTCTTACTTATAGGTTCTATTGCTGTGATGTTTTTCCCTTTAAGAATGCAAAGGAGTCCCCTTTCAAAAAAAGAGATCAATTCATTCATCAATTAAGAATACACCTTTCCTGTAATTTTTGGACTGAAGCAATTTATTAAAGCTCAATTTAAATACAGGGATGATGCAACTGAAAAAATCCAGGTGACCTTTGATAAACCTAAGCGGCTCAGATACATCAATAGGTCTCTTCATACTTGTTGGCAAATAAACCTTTTAAACACTTGGCACACAGTATAAGTTAATCTATAAAACAGAATTTTAGAGGCATTAAAAAAATCTGCACATAAGACCCATGACCTTACACATGATAAATACTGTTGATGTGGGTCATTGAAGAGTAACAAATAAATACCATGAATGGTTAATACATCATTGCAGAGTGGAAAGTAACAAGGTGCACATAAATATTTTTAAATGCAATTCTTTCAGCCACAGTTTTTTTTTATATCACTCTTGCCAAAAACTTTTGAGCGTTTTCACAGTTCAGAGACAATAAAAAATACAAAGTCTTTCATAGCAACGTGTCTCTCCCTTTTTTCTTTTCACTTAAATAAATCTACCTTCCATGTTTTTCTCCTGGCTCAGAATCAAAATTTATTTTCAAGTGCCCTTTCTGATTTGTCTGAATGAATATTCCGTCCTACAGGCCACCCAACCCCAGACTCCTCTCCCCCTCAGCACTAGCCAAACTCACAATTATTAGTAAGATTAGTATCAATATTCTCCACACTTTATACCCAAGCGACTACTTTTCAAACTTATTTTTAACCTTAAAGGAAAACTGCTTCCTGGCGTTCTAGGCTGCCACCAAAGTTGCCACTTTTCTGAGAAAAAAGACATCCATACTTCAGCTCAACTCCACCTCCTTCCTTCCTCCCTCCCTCCCACTCCGAAGACCGAGATTCTGGGGATGTCAAGGCTCAAGTCCCGTGTGTCTCTGATACGTCTCCTCAGTTCTCGCCTCTGCTTTGTTTGCTCTGCAAATGTTTCACAACTACCAGAGGACCAAAATAAAGGGGGTGGGGGCAGCGTTTCCCTTTCCTCTAGCTTTTGGGTCGGTCTTATGTTTCTCAGGGGGGTGTTTAAGGCTTCTCCGTGCACTGTTTGCAGAGGCTGGAGGAGACGCTGTTGAACAGGGCGCACTTCTCCGGGCAAGAGGCCGCCGGGGGCAGCCCGGCGCTGAACGGGTAGCCCGCAGCCTGCTCGTAGGCGCCCAGCGCCGGGTGCAGGGCAGCGGCCGCCGCCGCCGCCGCCGCGGAGCTGGGGAGCGAGGCGGCCGAGATGGCCTGGCCCTGGTTGAGGTAGGCGACCAGGCGCCGCATCTCCTCCAGGGCCTGTGCCTGCATGAGGATGTAGTTCTTGGCGAGCAGCAGCGTGGCGATCTTGGAGAGCTTGCGCACCGAGGGGCTGTGCGCGTAGGGGATCACCGCGCGCAGCTCATCCAGCGCGTCGTTCAGGTCGTGCATCCGCCGGCGCTCTCGGGCGTTGATGTTGAGCCGCAGCGCCTTTTGCTCTTTGGATTTCTTGCTGCTGCTGCTGCTGCTGCTACCGCCGCCGCCAGCGCCGCTGCTACCCCCACCGCTGCCGCCGCCGGGACCCCCTGGGGGCCCGCCGGCGCCTGCCGTGAAGGTGGGCGTTGGAGCAGCCCTCGGCCCGCCTTGGTGCCAGCAGCCTCCCCGCGGCCGGGGAGGCCCGGCGGGTCGCC